CCCAGCCTGGATTTATGTTTGGGATTGCCCCCACCCACTCTTCTCGACACTGGAAATCCTAAAATTCACCTATCCCAGGAATTACAGTATTTGCAAAACAAAGCACTGACAACTGTTTCTGCTTGTAGAGTGTTGTTGAGATGATTGATACTTCTGTTGCCCAGCAAAGCTCCTGCTTAATAAGTGTGTAATTCTTTCTGGTCTCTTGGGAAGATATTGCTTCTTATGGGTAGGAAGTTAATGATGCTTTTATTCTCTTTATATGCAGACTGACTTTCTCTTGGTGGTGCTGAGAGATGTAGTTCAGGCATATCCTGAAATCAGAGTTATCCTCATGTCTGCCACCATCGATACCAGTATGTTTTGTGAATACTTCTTCAACTGTCCCATCGTTGAGGTCTTTGGTAGAACCTACCCCGTCCAAGGTAAATCAGTTGAACTTTCAGGAACTGCTTGAGTTTTTATCAGTCAAATACTTTAGGATTGTGGGTACAGCAAGATACACATTTCTTTTGGATTGCCATGTCTTCCAGATGTGGCCTACCATGGGCAAAGAAGTCAGTAATACTGAATCATTTCATAGCACCATTTGGTTTAAAATCACAAACAAACAATACTCCCACCACCACACCTCACTCTCCCTCATAAAAAAAACCCACAACACAAATGCCAACCTCATCCTAAAGCACCACCACTTGGAGAATGAGTTAGTAATAGTCAGGCTACAGTGTTTTAGATCAGTTGTCTGTGGTGTTAGGAATAATGGAAATAGCTTTAAATAGGCCAGTTTTAAAGAGGGGGGGTGAAAAAAAAGGTAAAAAAATTATATGCAAGTATATTGAATAGAGGAATAATCATTGGAATAGTGTGGGGATAATTCTCATGCCCTACCTGACAGGGTAGGAAGGTTTTCTCCAGTCTTGACTTCATACTCTGAAACATCACAATGATATCAGGAGAATTTCAAGAGATGATAAAAAGAATTGTGTTCCCTTGCACAGGCTTCTAGTGGTCAGTCCTGATAACCAGTGCTTGTCTGTCCTTGCAGCTTATTTTCTGGAAGATTGCATTCAGATGACTCAGTTCGTTCCTCCACCAAAGGAAAAGAAGAAGAAAGAGAAGGATGAAGAAAGTGGTGAAGATGATGATGTATGTTTGACTTTTTTAATATGAAAAAGTAAACAAGTTAGGACTCTACCTCAAGTGTAATTCAATTACATTACATTTCAGTTCATTAAACATTTTTAGCAGCTTTTGTATTTTTAATACCCAAGATTACTGTTAACTTCAGAAATAGAATTGAATTTTCTCTTTGCCTCTGTAAACAAAACATTTTTTTTGTTGTTGTTGAAGCTAAAATTCTCATGTTTTGTCAGCCTACTTCTCTTTAAAGATAGAACTGAAATGTTTTTAAAAGTGAAAACATTGGTGACCTTGGAAGAAGAAATAGATACAGAAATATGAGCTTGGTGATACCTTTTCAAGATGAAAATTTAGATGCTCTCCCTTCTCTTGCAGTTGATATTGTTAGTGTCTACATATATTGTCAAGAAACTATCACTTTGATGATACAGCTTTTAATTTGTAGGTCTGAAACTACTGTTCAGGCCGATTATTTGAAATTTTAAAAAATTATTAGTTTTACTAAGCATTTTCTTCTGCTTCTCAAGATGTTATCCCCATTTGTCTGAATGGAAGTTAAATTAGTTTGATAGCTTCCTGCTGCAAATTTGTATTGAGTTATAACTCAGTGCAATTAAATGATAATTCCATTCCTGTATTAGAAAGCTGGGGAAGCAGGACTTGGAACTGCTTATTGTGAGTCACTCTGTGAGCTGTGCCTGAGATGGTTTTCCCTGTCCACACCTCTCATTGTCCTATTTGTCTGGCCAGCCAATCTCCACAGGTTGAGTAAATTAATTTATATTATTTCTTTTGTGGTGTGGTTGGTTGGTTTGTTTGTTTGTTTGTTTTTTGTAGGCCAATTGCAACCTTATTTGCAGCGATGAATATGGCCCAGAAACAAAGCACTCCATGGCTCAGCTGAGTGAGAAAGAAACTTCTTTTGAACTCATTGAGGCCCTGCTAATTTATATCAAGACCCTGAATGTCCCAGGAGCTGTACTTGTTTTCTTGCCTGGCTGGAACTTGATATATACAATGCAGAAGCATCTAGAAATGAATCCACGCTTTGGTACGAGCAACTGTTTCTATTATATTTCATCTCTCCTATGAAGACAGGCTGAAAGAGTTGGGGCTGTTCAGCCTGGAGAAGAGAAGGCTCCAGGGAGATCTTATAGCGGCCTCCCAGTACCTGAAGGGGCTACAAGAAAGCTGGGGAAGGACTTTTCATAAGGGCAGTTAATGACAAAACAAGGGGAAATGGCTTTAAAAGCTGAAAGAGGGGAGGTTTAGATGAGATATTAGGAAGAAGTGCTTCACTATGAGGGTGGTCAGACACTGGAACAGGTTGCCCAAGGAAGTTGTGGATGCCCCCTCCCTGGAAGTGTTGAAGGCCAGGTTGGATGAGGCTTTGAGCAACCTGGTCTAGTGGAAGGTGTCCCTGCTGCTGGCAGGGGGGTTGGGACTGGATGAGCTTTAAGGTCCCTTCCAACCCAAACCATTCTATGATCTCCTTTTCCAAAGGAAGCTACTGACTGTGTAAAGATGAGACTTATCTGAGTGAGAGTGGGATTGATCCGTCATCAGAGTGGATGGGTAGAAATGATTGTTGTGCAAAGAAAAAAAAAAAAAGAGATTTACACAGTAATAGTTACTGACCTTCTTGTATTCATGTTGTAGGGGGCTACCAGTATAGAATTTTACCTCTGCATTCACAAATTCCTCTGGAGGAACAACGACGAGTGTTTGATCCTGTGCCTCCTGGAGTAACAAAAGTATGTATTGCTGACATTTTTTATAGAGATTATGCCTTTTATATGTATAACCTCTATAAAAGTTTATCTTGCAGCCCATCCTTCACTTTTTCAGACCAAATGTATTTCAATATGCATTTCCTGTTTTTTTTTAATAGGTTATTTTATCTACCAGCATCGCTGAGACTAGCATTACCATCAATGATGTGGTCTATGTTATAGACTCCTGCAAGTGAGTTCATCAAGTAACTTTTTGTCTTGTAAATCCTGTTCTTTGGAATGCAGAAAAGGTTTTCTGAACACACAGAACTGCCTTGTGTTCCCATAGTCACAGAGCTGAATTGGAGGACTCTTAACTCACTCCAGACAGATTGGCATTGTCTTTAGCCGTCCCAACACAGTTACAAACCACGCTGGCATTTCAGTGGGCTGGTTTTGATCAGCTGCATTCTCGCTGGCACTATTCATGGGAGGTGTCACTGGGTCTTCATGCGGATTTGAAATATGTCATCTGCCAAATGAATGTTCCAAACACTCAGTGTATAGCTGATGGGAAAGAGGAAGATGTGTGTAGTCTGTTACAGATCCTGTCTTGCTGTGTGTGCTCTCTGAGTAAATGACATGTAGGGAATCTCATTAATTGTGTGGGAATTTTCAGCTTTTGAGGCAGTTCTGAAAACTTCCTTCTGTGTATAGCTTGGGGCAATGATTTATAAAGAGTATGATACTTCAGCTTCCAGATAGATTCCTCACTAGCCAAAGCTTAGCTGGTCAAATAGGGATGATTCCTCACTAGCCAAAGCTTAGCCAGTCAGACGGAGGTGGTTTGCTTCCTAAAAGCAGCGTGGCTGCATAAAAGAACTGATTTGGCAGGACTTCAGATGAAGAACATCTTGAGTTTGTTTTTGTTTTTGTTTCCTGCAACAGACAAAAGGTGAAGCTGTTCACTGCCCATAATAACATGACAAACTATGCCACAGTCTGGGCATCAAAAACGAATTTGGAGCAGCGGAAAGGAAGAGCTGGACGTGTGCGTGCTGGGTTTTGTTTCCATTTGTGCAGCAGAGCTCGCTTTGAAAGGTGAGACTGTGCTCTTTTAGAAATAAAATAATCTCAGAGACTTCTCCCAGAACCAATTCTGATCAAACTGGGGAAATAATTTCAGAAAGCACAGAGAGGAGATGCATCAAGTCAGTTCACTGAAATTGCTGGAGATCTGCATTCTTTTGCTTAATAGAAATTACATATGTTTACATGCTTCTTACCCATAGCAGGAGGTGGACAACTACGTGATGATTTTATTGTTGAGAACTTCACTGCTACCTATAGAACCTCTCAGGAGAAAAATAACACTGCTTGGGAATCGAGACAAGGCAGGAAAGAGCTCTGGAATGAGGACAGGGCTCTAGCCTGCCTTCAAACATTGCGGGCCCTTCACACCTTCACTTAACAGGCAGTTTTGTCATGAAAGAGGTAAAAAGCAGAGAGGACAGATGTTCCTGTTCCATGCATCCCTGCTGCTGAAACTTCTGACCTCGTCTGTCTGCCAAGCTGTTTCTCAGTTGCCAGAGCCACGGAAATCTTTTTGCTGGTTGCGGAAGTCTGCACAGCTGTTAGAGTCAGTGTTTGATCTCTCTCATAAAAGTTTCAGTACCCCTTTCTCACATAGTGGTTAGAGCATAGCTGTGTTTGATGTTCAGCTTTTGGTAACCTCTGAAAGCTTGAGGTTATCAAAAACTTTCCTGAAATTGCTGAGATTTATTTAGATCTGCTGTCTAGTACAGTGGAGTGATTTTAATTAAGAATTTTTGACAGTGAACTGATTTTAGGCTACTGAAGTGATCATGGGACTTCATGCCTTTAAAGTTACCTTCCTTCAAAGAATATAAAATCAAAATGCACTAGTGCCATGGTGCCTAGGAAGGGAAGAGTGTTTGGGAACTTGTGCAGATCATCTTTTGAGGGAGACTGTCTGAATCTGGTGCTGACTGAATCTGGGTATCTGTTCAAGGTGTTTTAAAACCTTTTCTAGCTGTCTTTTGCTTGGTGCAGTCATTCCTAGGAGTTCCTATTTCAACCAGCACGCTAAAGGCTCGCTAATGGTACTGTGCTGAAGACTTAAGAGCTCTCTCTGTTCCCATCAGATCTTATTCCTACCAGAAAAAAACACCTTTGGAAAGCATCCAGCAAAAATACTTACTCTTCTTAGTGATCAAAGCAGAAATGTGCACGTGGGGTTGGGTGGTTTGGAGTTGATAGAAGGGCCCATAGAGAAGGCCCATAGGTAAGGCAGACTGAAAGCAGGTTGTGTCTCAGGAGTGGAAGACTTTAGCAACGTAGGAGATGATTGTAAGGGGGAAAGTGTGGGGCTGGACACAACCATGCTGTGAATTGGGGGCTGCAGCCATACGACTCTGTACGTGGTCAGCCTGTGGTAGAAACCCACACAGGGTGGTGGTGATGTGAGGGCTGTGCCCTCTGTGTGTTTCCAATGTACATTTACCCTGAGGTGAGAACTGAGAGGAACAGAAGATAAATTCTGGTAGAAGAGCCCAAGTTCCAGGAGCACAGTGAGAGCTGCTGGGCTGGCTGGGAGACAGGATTGGCTTTGGAGGGCGATAGTTGATGCTGATGGAATGACCCATGATGGTGATGAAAGTGAGTGTTGAGAAAAATGTGGGCTCATTTTTTTTTTTTTCTTTTCCCCTTCATTCCAGACTTCAAACTCACATGACACCCGAAATGTTTCGAACACCACTTCATGAAATTGCTTTGAGCATCAAATTGCTGCGACTGGGAGGAATCGGTCAGTTTTTGGCCAAAGCAATAGAACCACCACCTTTGGATGCGGTGATTGAAGCAGAACGCACGCTCAGAGGTATCGTTGCCTGTCCACAAGATTGTACCTTAATGAAGCTGACTCCAAGTGATTTCCCATGTGTAGCAATCACTTCCAAACTGCTTTAACATCTCCCTGGTTAGCTTGTTTGTGTAGTAGCACGCTGTCTGACACAGCAAGGTGTTTCCTGGATGCATCGCGTGGGTGGCAGCGTCTTCTTGCAGCTGAAGAAATATTTGAATTCCCAAGTGGAGTGTCATTTCTTTAAGAAACCTGAGCCTTCAAACTGAAGGCTTGTTTTGTTATTTTATCAGTAACTTCTGCTAGCTTCCAACTTCCTGTTTTCCAGCTGTGGCACTGCTCTGTATGACACACACTCAGTCCAGTGCCTAAGGCATCTACAAAACTCCTGTCAAACTACCAAAGCAGAGGATTTGTGGGCTTCTTGTGCAATTACTGTGTTCTACAGTGTGCTGACTCAAGATCTAAGTATTTTGTCAAGTAATTAAATCTCCAGTTTATGAATATCAGTATCCTCCTAAAACAGGAGAAACTGAGGTGGGGGTTAAGCCATCTCCCCAGTTTCTTCAAGGAACTAGCTGGAATATGAGTAAAATGAAGCAGAAAGGAACCCTGAATTTATGCTTTGGATTTAAAGCAGTGATCCCAAACCTCAGCATGCTTTGCAAAAGCATTTCTTAAAATTTCTAAGAACTGAAATATCTGTTTGATTGATGATTTTATGAAAAAAAATTATGAAAAGAGATGACATTGCTTGTATGCAGCAGGGAGACCAGAATGAAAAACATAGCTAGAGATGTATGTAATTGAGTTTAATGACTTTATGATCTTCAAATTGTTAGTGCTTTTCTTACGCTGCAGATTTGAGCTGCAAAGCTGGGGAGAAGGCAGGTGTTTTCAGCATTAACACCAAAGGGGTGTTTCTGAGGGGGGCCACCATTTCCTGAATAGCCTGTGACATTGTTCAGGGGGTGGGTGTGTGTACTATTAGTATTTTTTTAGGGTGGTGAGACATGCTATTCTTCAAAATACTCTTTAGGCTTTTGAGTTCAATAGGTAATAAGAAAAAAGGATTTGATAGTGGCTAAGGAGTCCTTTAGTTGTTGACTTTCCCATTTAATCACTGAGGCTACAAAGCTTTTTTAAATGTAAAACTCTAGTTATGTTGAAGTTTCTCAAAGTAGTCTGTAAATAAAATACATGAACTATAAGTTTGCATTTTTCATTTATATCCTAAAAGGGTTTTTAAAGATGACACTTGTATTGTTTTTTTCTTTATCATGCAAACTTAAAAAGAGTTTTATCAAGTAGAATTTAATGGTTATGGCCAAATGGCTGATAAGTTAAGGAGACTCATGAGACCCTTCAGTCAGGACAGCAAACAGCCACAGACACTTGTGTCACTTTACTGCTGACAATGGTTTGATGGCTCCGGGGATGAGCTCAGGCAGTAACTTGTCGGTGATGGAAGGAGAGAAAGGCAGGCAGAGCCTCATGGAAGAGAGAGTTTGTGGTGGTTCCTGTTTGAGAACAGAGGGTTCTGTGATTTGGCAGTTGCGATGAAGACTCTACGGATGGCTGAGGCAGGGCTGCTTTGATTTTGATGAGGCAGAAATTAGTTTAGATCAGTTGTAACAAATATAGGGACTTGCAAAAAAAGTTTAATAGTGTGAGAGAAGTGTGTATAGAAGCAAACTAATGACAAATGGAAAAATATGTATGTGAATGAATTGGTAATTATTTTAATTGCGGAGGAGGTGGTAAAACATCTGTAAAGCTAAAGTAAAATTTATTTGACCTCAGACTAGTTTTGAAAATCAGGTTGGCATTATGGTAAACAACATTAAACTTAAAATCTAGTTTTATAGGTTCTATTTAATAATTAAATAGATGCTATATTCTATTAAAATATAAGTTCTATTTAAACACAATTATTAAAATTCTGAATTTCTTACCTAAGGGTTTTTGGGATTAGATAACCATCTTTGATAATAAGAGATCTTGTTTCAGAGCTTGATGCCCTGGATTCCAACGATGAGTTGACACCTCTTGGAAGAATCCTAGCCAAACTCCCCATTGAGCCTCGGCTTGGCAAGATGATGATAATGGGCTGTATCTTTTAGTAAGTTTAGTAGTCTCAGTCATGTTTTCCTTGTTTCTCTGAGTTCCTGAGCCTCTAAATGTGCACTCTACAAGAGACAAAACAATACATCCTGAGGAGCAATAAATGCTACAACTGGGGATAGGAAACTGAATATTCCTGAGAGCAGGGGATAAATAACTTACAGTATAGGGACTAAAGTTGTCATGGAATTCAGGGTTAACTGCAGGAGAGCAGCGAAGGTGAATTAAGAGTAGGACACGAAATACTTTAGTGGTGAGCTGGAAGTGGGGAGATGTGAAATTGGACACCTAGATAAGAAGAAAATGGATCCCTGTGTGTTGCTTTAGCAGAAGTGAAGATCAGTTATTTGTAACTGTGGTGGCTGTAGGGTCCTTTTCACCAGAAGAAGATGGTGTATGGATGTTGGGAGGGGGAGGGAAGATAGGCAAAGGGCTTGTGGACACTTGCTGTTGTGAAAGAACTGGGACTGGAGCTAATTTAACATCCACTTCCAGGGAGGTGTTTGTGTGAAGAACTCTGGTAGATAAGGGCCAAATTACTGAGGTCTCTAGCAGAGAAGTTTTTACTAATATCAACAACTTCTGGCAGCAGTTCTGTGAATAAACCCCATCCTGATCGCTTTTGTGGTTTCTTAACAGCGTGGGAGATGCCGTCTGTACCATCTCTGCAGCCACCTGTTTCCCTGAACCTTTCATCAATGAAGGCAAACGCCTGGGTTACGTCCATAGGAATTTTGCTGGGAACAGGTTTTCAGATCATGTTGCTTTGCTCTCTGTCTTCCAAGCCTGGGATGATGCAAGGTATATTGTCTTGGCACAAAACTTGATGAGAAGTTATGGGTGACTCGGGGTGAGAAGCTTTGTGACCAGGCTAGTTACATCAGCTAGACTGTTGCACTTCTCCTTTTCTTGAACAGATTTCTAATTGACTCTGTTTGGTTTTGGTTTTTTTTAGAATGGGTGGTGAAGAAGCAGAAAAAAGATTTTGTGAACACAAAAGACTCAGCATGGCTACTCTTCGAATGACTTGGGAAGCAAAAGTCCAGCTGAAGGAAATACTTATTAATTCTGGCTTCCCTGAAGGTGATTCTGCTTGGACATAGTAATGTAATGGTTGCATTTTTCATCCAGAGATGAGAAATAAATAATACACAAGATAATCTGTGATGAACACACAAGCACAGAGGCCTATAGTGGATTTACCATAAAGCTCTTCTGCTTTTACAGCTGCATTCACATGAAATTTTAGTGCTGTCTCATTCTCTCATAGTTGTCTAAAACCAGAGAATTTGTGATGGCTGTGGTGCAGTCTCAGGAGATTTTGGAGGCTGAAGTTAGGGTTTGCAGGATTAAAAATTTATTAAGTAATTGTCCTGAGAGAATTACCTCCCCGATTTTCTTTCTTCTTCACTTGTTGCATTTCCAAAATGCGCTGTGCTGCGCTTCCCCTCTCCTTTTCATTAGCCTTAGGGGGTCTGTGTGATCTAAACAGTGTGCTGTGTGCCCTGTGATTTTCTGGGTTTGTGCTGCAGGAGGCCGTGCAGTATTATTATATTATTGCATATTATATCATTATATTATTTCATATTATTCAGTTTTCTAAGGAAAAAACATAAATTCTTAAACTTGACTAGGTTCTGAATTTGCCTAATGTTCCTGAGGGGCTTGCTCAGTTAAATGGCATGGCTGCCTGGATTCAGCAGATGTTCATCTCCCTCTCTTTTTTTTTAAATTCTTTTAATTTTTTCTCTTTATGCTGCTAGGATCATTGCTGCATTTATCTTTAACTTTCTTTCTGGGCAAGATGACCTGAAAACAAGCCACCAGAGACTCTGGGGAGGTTTGTAACAAATAAACTAATGAAAACATCCATTCTGACCTCCCCCAAAAGATCTGTCTCCAAAACAAATGACAGGAAACACACTGTGGTACAGCACATTCTGGGCAAGCCCCTCTCTCCTTGTTTTTGAAGAGCTTGGGAGAGAAAAATATCTCTTTGTAGTAGTATTTTTCAGCTTTTTGCTGTCCATGAGCAAATTGAGAACTGAATGTAGCACTGAAATGCTTTGAGTGCAGAGGTCATTTGAGAACAGATTGACATCTACCAGTTGATTGAATCAGAAAACCCATTGATCCAACTCTGCTCTGCTGTCCTACATGACCTGTGGGTACAAGCCAGTCTTCTGTTCTCTGTCAACAGAATGTTTGGTGACTCAACCGTTTAACAACACTGGACCAGATAATAATCTGGATGTTGTAATCTCCCTGCTTGCTTTTGGGGTCTACCCCAATGTCTGCTACCACAAGGAGAAGAGGAAGATTCTTACCACTGAGGGGCACAACGCACTCATCCACAAGTCATCTGTCAACTGCCCATTCAGCAGCCAGGACATCAAGTATCCATCACCTTTCTTTGTTTTTGGAGAAAAGGTAAAGGCTTTGGATTTCTTCTTGATCATGTGCTGCCAGGTTGTCCCAGAGGCTCTTTTTGGTAAAAAAGCTGTAAGAAAAGAAGACACACTGGGTGGTGTTCAGCTTGTTTTGGGTTTTTTGGTTTAGTTTGTTTGTTTTTGCAGAGAGTGAACCTCGTGTGATCGTGGTGTCACTCAGCCTTTGCAGTAACTTTCAATCAGCCAGTTTCAGTAGCAGTAGAGGTTTTAGCTGCATAGACAGTTCCTGTGAGCATTGTGGAAACAGCCAGGTCATAGAGAAAGATCTAAATTAGTATCTTCTTTTAGAGATTGCTTTAGGAGCTCTTCCATACTGCTTAGGCACTAGAGAATTTCTGCCCTTGTCACTTCTGCTACTTGTGCATCCAGAGAGAAAACAAACCCGTAATGTGGCAGTGGCGTGCTCCCTTTCTGCCAGGTAGGTAGTTTGTCATCTCCTGAGGACAACTCCCAGTTGCCAAGCATCTCAGAAAAACCCTGAGGTGCCTTCCCCAGAGTCCCTGTAACCTTTTCCTCCATCCCTTTAATTTTGTGTGCTCAGCACACATGTACATACATGTTCATGTGCACTTAACCCCTGCGTGCTCTCACATGCTCCAGCGATGGCCACCATGAATGCAACTGCTCCTGCTCACCCTTCTTTTAAGGTACACATGTAGGCAGTGCCTTTGGGTAGGACATAGCCAGGAGATACTTGTGCTGCCTGCCCACACTTACTCCAGCGCAGCCATGGGGAGGCCCTGATATGCTCTGTCACCTGTTGTTGAAACCAGCTCTGCACAACACCAGAGTTCCTTCTGCCTGGGAGATGCTGTAAAGATGTTTTTGAGAATAAGCACTGAATTAGCAAGGCCCCTTGCTGTAAGGAGAGCCTCTTAAGATCTTATAGCAGAGGTGTTGGTCGACAGCTGGCTGAACATGCGTCAGCAGAGTGCCCAGGTGGCCAAGAAGGCCAACAGCATCCTGGCCTGGATCAGCAATAGTGTGGCCAGTAGGACCAGGGAAATTCTCTTACCCCTGTACTGGGCGCTGGTGAGGCTGCACCTCGAGTGCTGGGTTCATTGTTGGGCCCCTGACTCCAAGAAGGACATGGAGGTGCTGGAGCGTGTCCAGAGAAGGGAACGGAGCTGGGGAAGGGTCTGGAGCACAAGTGTGCTGAGTTCCCTTGTGGCTGAGGGAACTGGGGGTGTTGAGCCTGGAGAAAAGGAGGCTGAGGGGAGACCTTCTGGCTCTGTCCAACTTCCTGAAAGGAGGGTGGGGAGAGGTGGGGGTGGGTCTGTTCAACCAAGGACCAAGGGACAGGACAAGAGGAAATGGACTCCAGTTGTGCCCAGGGCAGTTGAGATGGGATGTGAGGAAGAATTTCTTTGCTGGAAGGGTTCTGAGGCATTGGAAGGGGTTGCCCAGGGCAGTGGTGGAGTCCCCATCCCTGGAGGGACTGAAGAGTCGTGTAGACATAGTGCTGAGGGACATGGGTTAGTCGGGGACTTGTCAGTGTTGGGTTCATGATTGGACTTGATGATCTTGCAGGTCTTTTCCAATCCAGGCAATTCTGGGACTCTGTGATGCTGTAGAGGTTTCTTTTTGTCACGTTGTCTACACTGGTTAGGTCAGAATTAGTTTATGCTGATTTTTTTTATCCTCAGTCCTTTTTGCTGACGTGCAACACTTTAGTAATGGCAAATAATCCATTTAATTGGTAATCAGTGGAATTGTGACTCTTCTGGGTGCTGGCTGGGGGCTCAGCTTGATACTCGGGATTTCCAGGTACGCAGTTCCATGCTGTGGTGAGGCTTTGCCTCTCTTCACCCTTTATGACAGGATGTCAAGTGGGCCAGAGCTTTGATCTGCCTCCAACTACCTCTGTGAAGTGAGCTCCCCTAAAAAGACCAAAGGACTTTGAACTCCAAAAGCGGTGTTTTATTAAACCAAAATACGTACGGGAAACTAAGAGAGACTGAGATGGTGGCTTTGGAGTGGCTAAGACAGCGACTGGGAGAGAGTGAGGTGAAGGATTTCTGTGCAGCTCTCTCCCCAACCATCACCTACTGGCCAGAAGAAACTTTCTGAGGTCTGGTTGCCCGTTTCCAGCTGCTCTTGGCAGCCTCTCTCTGACCTGCAAGTTCAACACTCCTCATCGTGGCTGTTTTTCTGCCACAGTTTCCAGCTTCTGGCAGCTTCTCTCTTTTGATTATGTGTGGTATCTTCCAGGCAGGAGCAAATCTTCTTCCTGAGGATAAGCAAGTACAACAGACTCTGCCTGTCATACTCCTGTGTGAAAGGAAGGAGGGAGGGAGGCAGCTGGCAGGGTGGGAGGCCGAGATCCCAAGTACCACTCTTCAGCTTCTCTTTAAGATGAAGAGCTGTGGCCCATGTTCAGTGCTGTTATCTCCGGCTTGGGGCAGATGGTTTGTCACTGTCCAAGTGCTCACTTAGAGTACGAGCCTCAGGTCTTGTTTCTAGAAGGTGACAAAGCAAGCTGGTGGCATGGATGTGTAGCAGCTCCCACTCGTGTGTGTAGGACCCTACTAAAGAAGCAGCGTGAGGTTTTCACCGCAGCCCCAGCGATGCTAAAGGTGGGAGGATAACTCAGCTGTGCCTGGGGCACTTTTAGGTTGACCAAGCACGAGGTGGCTCTTGCAAAGTGTCGGCTGCACGATTGCAGACGTGCAGTCATGGAAAAACAGATGCTTTTTGGTGGCAGGTAGTTTGTGGTGTTTCTTTACACCAGCAGCGCTGAATCCCTGTACACATCAGCCCAGCGTTCAGTTTTGTATGCGTGTGCGCTCCCGGAATTTCCTAACATTATACCTAGATTTTTTTGAGGTGTTGTTTTTTCCTTTTAAAAATTTCTCTGGTTTCAGAGGCCAGAGGAAGGTGTGGGGATGTGTTTTCCATTTCAAGAGTCGTATTCCTCTTCCACCTGCAGATTCGAACGCGAGCCATCTCTGCCAAAGCAATGACCTTGGTCAGCCCACTCCAGCTGCTTCTCTTTGCCTCCAAGAAAGTCCTGTCGGACGGGGAGCTCATTTTGGTCGATGACTGGTATGGATCTCCTTGGTGCTGGTGATGGTCAGGTCTGTGAAAAAACACAGACTGAGGGGGGGTGGCTGCTAACACAGACATCAGTCCCTTCAGAATAGGAGCCCTGGAGCGAGCTGTGCGCTGCTACAGAGTCACTGTGAGGGCATTACCTTTGTTTCCCATGAGGAAGGGAGAGGTTTATGTTGGCAACACTGTTCTGTGCAGAGTATCTGCCTAAATCCAAAACACCATACCAGGCACTTTACATAAAAACTTCTGGTTTGTTCCCCTTTAACTGGAAGGTGAATAAGAGGTCCTATGTATTTTGGACCTCCTCTTCAGACAGAGGCTGAGGAAACCTTGTTTTTAATTCTCAAAACACAGCTTGGCACGAGAAGTGGTTGCCTCTGGCAGCACACATTTTATGACCATGACCAAATACCATCTGGATGTCTTTTTTTTTCCCCCCTTGGTCAGTAAAATGGAAGTGAAGAATTGCTTAAGCTTAATTCCCTAATATTTTTGAGGGTGGCCTGGAGCTTTCAAAATCTTGAGGAGCCTCATGTTTTTTGTTAACTTTCTGTTTTTGTATCTTTCTGTTTTGACGCTAGGGGTTATGAATTGGTGTTGTCTGAGTCTGTTAAATCTCAAATTTAAATGGAAAGATAGTTATGTTTTAACCATGTCAAATGTTAAGGATCTTTCAAATTTGCCTCCTGAGTTTCACACCCCTTCACTGACAAATTAGAACTTCAAAGATGAGGAGATAGATTTTTGGGCTCAGTGTGTGCAGCACTCAATGAAAAGCCACTCTACAGAACATCTTACGTCCCAGGTTGTGTCCTAGAAGTCATGATACATCTGATACCCTTCTTTGTGCTGTAGGATCAAGCTGAAGATGCCCCACAACGCGGCTGCCTGCATCACCGCTTTGCGTGCCGCCATGGAGGCTCTTGTTGTGGAAGTGACCAAAGATCCTGGGATCATTCAGCAGCTGGACCCAGCGCACGAGCGAATGCTGAACGCGATCCGCCAGCTCTCCAGGCCGTCAGCCGCAGGCATCGGCCTCATGGCTGCCCAGGCAAGGTGAGCTCGGCTCCCTCGGCTCGTGCAGTCGGAGCTCTGGGGCCAGGAGCGCTCACCACCTCTGCTCCCAAGGACACCAAGAGCCTGAGCAGAGCAGGTCAGAGCTGTCAGCTCCACTTCTAACTCTCCAGAGCTAAAATCACCAGGAGAGTCTTGTCCCGCATGGACAGGAGCTTCAGGCTTTTGCTACAAAGCCAATAGTCTGAGTGGATGTAAAACTGTCACGTTCAAAGTCTGATGTAGACAGATCACCACCTGTTTCCACAGGAAGGACAAGCTGCTCTCGGGAGTAAAAGCTGTCATTGCCTCTTCCAAAACACAATGACTTTTACAGAAAAGATAATCCAGATTTATTTTGGGCAAACCTATTCATCTCTGTCTCTGGAAAGAAAACAAGTGTTTGGCTCCTCTTGCACCTCTCCATGCCCCTTGTTTTCCTGTCTTGCTTCTGAAGCAAAGAAAAATGAAAACACCCGTGAGCTGTTGGTAATTTAAGGATCAAAACAAAGAGCAGCTTTAGATGTACAATTCACTGTGTTTTGCAAGGAGCAAAATAAAGATCACTGAGATGAGTGATCTCATAGACAGGACCGGGGCTCCCTGCACATTAGTGTGAGCTGGAGAACAGGTTGGCTAGAGAAGCTGTGGCTGCTCCTCCCTGGAAGTGTTCTCGGCCAGGTTGGATGAGGCTTTGAGCAACCTGGTCTAGTGGAAGGTGTCCCTGCTGATGGCAGGGGGGTTGGAACTGGGTGAGCTTTAAGGAACCTTCCAACCCAAACCAGTCTGTGATTCTAAGTGGGATTGAGGGGGAACTTTCCATCCCGGGTGCAGACCTGGCTGAGATTCAGAGGAGGGACTGCTCGTGTGGCACATCGGGCCGTTCCCAGCTGTCTGTGCTGAAGTGGGAAAGGTGCAAAAGTGCAACTGGAATTCAAGTATCCTGTTCTGTTAACAAAACAGAGGCATCTTAACTGACTGTCTGGGCAATTGATTATTCCTGTAATATTTTTTTAAAGAAATGGAATCCATAAGATTGTGTCTCAAGTGTGTGATGTTTCTCTTTGCCAGGTTCGGTGACGGTCCTCGCCCCCCCAAAATGCCTCGCTACGACAATGGAGGTGGCCTCAGAGGCTGGGGCGGTTACCCGCGTGGCTCTGGCTACAGAGGGAGAGGCTACGGGGGCTACAGCTACTCGGGCAGGCGCTCCGGAGGGAGAGGATACCAAGGTAGCCCGGGGAGAGGCTATGGAGGTGGGGGAGGCTATCGAGGAGGAGGGTACGGAGGGGCAGGCGGTGGCTACAGAGGAGGCTGCAGGGACGCGGGGAGGGGCGGCTGGTAGCGACGGGGGTTTGGTGATGTCTTCCCGTGTTTCTCTCCCCAATCCCTCCCTTGCCGTGACCCGTCTGCAGTTTCAGTCCCTTAGTCCAGGTACAGCTCTGTAACATAGCCTGCCCCCAGGGAATTCACTGCAAGTTGTACAATTTGATTCTTAATAAAGAGTGTGTTTTTAACGACTTACCTGCTCTATGTGTGATTTTGGATTTAGATTTTGAGGCCATCTGTGTCGTTAGTTTTGGTTGTAGGATGTATGAGGAATTCTGAGGTGACCTTTTCGGTGTCTAAAGCCATTCTCTGGCAAAAAAAAATTTCAAATGGCAGAACTTGGGCTCTTTGTTGTTGAATAAACGGTGCAAGCAGGCCTTGCTGCAGTGGTTTCGTGTCTGTGCCAGGCAGCGCTTGGCTCCTCTGCAGCCGGCCCCGTGCCGTGTTACACCTCCTGGCACAGCAGCTGCTGAGCTCTGCTGCTGATCCAGATCATGCAGGAACACGGATTGCTGTTATCCAAGACTGGAGTGATGCTGGTGCTCTCTGCAGAACCTGAAGCCATCTCCAGAGTGTGAGCTGTGCCCTTCATGAGGCAGTGTTCATTGACAGCTGAGGAGTGGTGAGCCGCAGGGGTCACTCTTGGGACTGGGGCTCTTCAGCATCTTTATCAGTGACCTGGAGAGTGGGATGGAGTGCACCCTCAGCAGGTTTGCTGATGGCACCGAGCTGAGTGGTGCAGCTGATACAATCAGTGGAAGGGATGTCATCCAGAGGGACCTGGACAGGCTTGAGAAGCAGGCCCACAAGAACCTAATGAGGTTCAACAAGGCCAAGTGCAAGGTTGTGCACTTGGATCGGGGCAATCCCAGGTCTGTGTACAGACTGGGAGAAGAACCCTTTGAGAGCAGCCCTGCTGAGAAGGACTCAGGTGCTGGTGGACGAGAAGCTCAACATGAGCCAGCAGTGTGTGATTGCAGCCCAGAAGGCCGACTGTGTCCTGGGCTGCATCAGAAGAGGGGTGGCCAGGAGGGAGAGGGAGGGGATTGTCCCCTCTACTCTGACCTTGTGAGGCCCCATCTGGAGTGTTGCATCCAGGCCTGGAGTCCCCAGCACAAGGAAGATGTCGAGCTGTTGGGGTGGGTCCAGAGGAGAGACGGGAAGATGATCAGAGGGCTGGAGCACCTCTGCTGTGAAGAAAGGTTGAGGGAGCTGGGCTTGTTTAGCTTGGAGAAGAGAAGGCTCTGGGGAGACCTATCGGCCTTCCAGTACCTGAAGGGAGCTTAGAAACAGGAGGGAGAGGGACTTTTTCCATGGGCAGATGTGTTAAGTTGTAGGGGCTGAACTCTGGTACCAGGAGTTATCACGTATATGTACAATATTCTGTTACTGGCTAAAAAAGTTTTTACTGGAGGTACTTTGATGTCAAATCCTAGCTAAATCATTGTCACTTGAGAGTGCAGCCTGGTGTAGTAATGTATGAAACAGCCTGGTTACCTCCGAGTCTGGGAAGGCTTCCAAGGAAGAAGAAAAGATACCTGAAGCGTTGGGGTGTTGTGGATGATGTTATTTATTATAAAGCATCTTAAAAGGTCATTCCTCTCTCAGCTGCTTGCCCATTTTCACGCTGCTTTATGGATAATTCCAGCACAGTAACCACTTCTGGTTATTCCTTTTGTGCTCAGACCACCTGCTTGCCACATCCAAACCCTCAAAATCAACTTTAGCTTTGTGAAATGTCAAGGCTCTGGGCTTTGACTCATGTTTGGAAACAAGTGCTGAAGTCTAAACACGGCTCATCCAGCGTAGCCGCCTTTATGACCTTAGTCTGACAAACCAATACAGATAGCACCAAACTGCTTTGGTGGAGGTTTAAGTGTGATATAACCTAGACCACAATTGTGTGGTGGATTTATTGTGGTTTCAGTTCTCAGAGGAACTCTGCTTCACTCCGTGCAGTGATCAGTGACATTCCTGAAGATGTTTTCTACATCTGTTTTTCACTTGTCCTTCATGTTTCACCCCTTCCCTCTGCAGGCCTGATCAGTTCTGGGATTTGGTGGCAAGAGAGAGTTTGGGGACCTAGGATGATCCAAAGTGCGCACGGTGGGAACTGTACAGGCATGGCCTGGCAGATGCTATCAGAGCAGAAAACTTTTGTGGGAAACTCCCATTGATATCATATTTTCCAAGGCATCATTATCAACTTTAACTTTTTTTAAATCTCTGAGTGACTCAGAAATCTGGCACTGTCCAAAGTACGAGCTTTGCTGGTGTGATACGAGCATCTGCAGGGAGAGGAAGGGTGAGAGGCTTTGACATTAGGAGTTCTAATCCAACTGAAGATGAACTTAAGGAACCGAGGTGGAAGAAAGACTTTGTAAATACCAGGTGCTGATCAGAGCTTGAGAGTTTCAGGACAACCAAAGACCATGGATATAAAAGTTAGGATTAAAACACAGTACGTTACCTAATTGAAGGATACATTATGGTAAAAAGCCAAAGCTTTATGATACTGTGCCAGATACCAAAGAGAACTTTTGGTGCAATATACTTCTGCCCCAGTACCCCCCTTAAAACAAAAAATATTTCCAGTTGTGAGTACTTCTGGTACCAGCTCTGAAGAGAAGGACTTGGGAGTG